TTTGATTTAATAATATAATAATTAAGTATTCTGTTAAACTCAATGATTATCCTAATTATATTTTAGATTTTTTATATTTAAAATGAGATATTTATCTTGTATTTGATTATGTTTATCTGCAGTTAGTTACACGAATTCAAATATGAAGTTTTAATAAGTTATACTTACGCACAATCTACTTGTAATCTTGAGTTTTAAGTAATATGCATTAATAAACAATACTTTACGCATAAAAAATGGTTTTTAAGAGTTTTTGTCAAAATGGTTTATAATATAGTATAGATAAATTAACGTTGATGATATTTAATATGAGACGGGTTAAAAATAAAAACAGATATCTACACAGAAAAGGTTCAATCGGTTATTCGGGTACTTAAATGTTAAAAAAAATTTACATCTTAGGTACCAAAATGAAAGTTTTGAAAGTACGTACCCAAAATAGGAATCAAATTAAAGTACGTTACTTTTTCATATAATTTGTCCTTAAAATTATTAAAAACATGTATATAGATAAAGGAAAAGGAAAAAGAATGTTACCTGAAGCCATAAATGGGTTGATCTTTTGAACCCCGTAGCAAACAAAATCACATCAAATTGATAACATTTCCCGTTCTCAAATACAACTTCATTTCCACCGCCTTTTATGTTCTTTAACCTCGGTAACACCTGTTTCCGTTTTAAAAATCAGTATCATGTTTTTGTGTAACGAAAAACGTACAAGTTACGTTAAAAAGTTGGGAAAACCATACCTCTATCTCACCCGACTTGATCTTTTTCACTGTGCCAACATCAATGACCGGGTACTTACCATCTCTTACTTTCATAAGAAACGGACCTTCTTTGGGCCTTTGAATCCCGTATTTTGTCAGGTCTCCATACATTATCGTGTTAACAAATACCAAGAACGAATCCACCAAATGCAAAGGCATACTCGCCAATGACATCAATCCAAGATTTGTCGACCATCTTGATAGTATATGCATCTGCAATACCAACATATACAACATTAACTAACTATTACTGTATAAAATATGGCAACAGAAAAACTGCATATTGAAACTGTTATTGTATAAAATTTGGCAGCATTAATTAACTGTTACTTAGATTTTATTAAAACCTGACTCGTATTTGTCTGACTCAAAAGGGAATCGTTGATTTAACGTCGTACCAAACAATAGTCCATCATGAATAACCAATTTTTTGTAATGTTGCATTTATAGGTGACAAATAGGTGGGCCAAATGGGTCACAGATAATAAGTTAAAACATATATGGTTGGTCGTGCTAAATTACCGACATATTTTTTTTTGTGGGGGTTGCCATTCATACCCCTCATTCACACATATATTGAGTTAATATGGTAAATATAATCACAAAACCTATATATTAGAAGACAAATTACATGAAAAAGTAACGTACTTTAATTTAATTTCTATTTTGGTAATGTAGTTTCAAAACTTACGTTTTGGTACCTAACATGTAAAGTTTTAAACATTTAAGTACCTGGGTAACCAGTTAAATCAATAACCGGTTACCATGTTGATGTGATGAGTGATGTAGTATCCAACTCAGTATATTCGATATTCAACTCAATTTCATCCAATCACTCGTCACATAAGCATGGACATGGTAACCGGTTAATGCTTCAACCGGTTACCCATGTATTTAAATGTTTACAATTTTACATCTTAGGTACCAAAATTGAAAATTTTGAGAGTACGTTATCAAAAATAAGAATCAAGTTAAAGTACATTACTTTTTCATGCAATTTGTCCGATATCAAATAATTTTTTTTGTTGATAAAAATAGTTTAAAAACTAAAAGGATTTGAATATACTCTTGACAATTTGACTCGTTAACCACAAGGGTGGTGTTGGATTCATCGATCATCGATAATAAAAATCACTTGTCCAAAAATCTCACGTTTTTTTCATGTCCACCAATCACATGAATACACATCACCAGATAACAAATTTAAAACATATAAAAATCTGATTTGTTTTCATTTCATTGATTGAATAGGGATCAGACATGTGATTTTGGAACAACAGATTTTTATCTGGAAGAGATCAGGATGACATCCCATCCAGGCCATTTTCCTAGGGTTCTATTCTGCCCCTTGCACTTATGGGCTATGGCCACCATAATAATGAACGTCTAGAGTTTATCAGGTTGGACGACATTGCCTAAGGCCCTCCCCAATATGAATCGTTTAAATTTCGTGAAGTCTCTGATTCTACCCGTTAAGGATTTATATTGAAAAATAATAATCAAAAAACACGATTGTTCGATGAGGGGAAAAAAATCCCCCTTACGTTGATGTCTCTGAAGACGTGTTTTGTGTGGGATCAATTGGAATTGTGGTAATCATTTATTCCCAAATATTTAAAATCGATTGTTAGATTATCTCCAGTAGATTCTTCAAAGTGGAGATTTTGGGGATTTTTAGCAGTATGTGCATCATTAGCATCCTACAAGGTCAAGGGTTCAAACTTTACCAAATGTGAAAAGGGCGTGTGAGTTTATTTATTCTATTTTGTCGTATGAATATTCTAATAATATATATCATATTATAATATTTAAAACGAAGAAGTTGTTAGAGATGAAGATAAAGTTTAAAAAACTAATATCTTTGCTAATGCTAAGTTTCATTGATCCTGAGGGACGGAGGAGGTCAGGTTAGCCGAAAGATGGAGAATTCTTCGTTCAGTTCTCCATCTTCATTTTAATGTTTCGTTTTATTTATTTTTGTCTCAGTCGATGTCATAATACAGTTTTATGTGGTTTTAAAAATGGGATAATGTTTTTATTTTTGAATAAATATAAATATGAAGATATAATAAAATTTTATTTTTTATGATATTAGTATCAAACTAACTATTTAAAATTTCTCATGTTTTTGTATATTTTTTTAATTCATTTTTTTTATTTCTGGTTTAATAATATAATTTTTTTTAAAGATAATAACTAAATATTTTTTTAGAACTCAATTATTATCATAATTATATATTAGATTTTTATATTTAAAAAGATTTGCTTATCCTATATTTGATTATGTTTATCTGCAGTTAGTTACGCGAATCTAAACATGAAGCTTTAGTAAGTTGTATTTACACAAAATTTACTTGTAATCTTGAATTTTTAAGTAGCATGCATCAATAAACAGTAATTCATGCATAAAAAATGGTTTTTAAGAGTTTATGTCAAATGCTTTATAATATACTGGAAGGATACTTGTGCATGCAACGAGATACATTTTCATTTTAATGTTTTGTTTTATTTTTTTTGTTTTTGTTGATATAATACGATTTATGTGGTTGTGAGAAAAATAATATTTTTACTTTTAAATAAAAATAAATTTGAATATATCATAAAAATTTGAAAAAATATATTAATATCAAATTAAATATTTAAAAGTTTTTTATTTTTATTTAACAATTTATTTAATTGATTTTTTTTTGTATTATAATTCAATTTAGGTCAAATAGTGAAGTAATTTATTTTTGGCTTAAGTTTTTTATAAAAATAATGATTATGTTAAAACTCAATAATTATTCTAATTATATTTTGGATTTTTTATATTTAAAATAAAATGTTTATCTTATATTTGACTAGGTTTATCTGCAGTTAGTTATACGAATTCAAAAATGAAGCTTTAATAAGCCGTACTTATGTATAATTATTTGCAATATTAAATTTTAAGTAATATAACAGTACTTCATGTATAAAGAATGATTTTTAATATTTTTTATCAAATATTTTATAATATAGTATAGATTATAAATTTTATAAAAATAATAATTAAATATTTTATTAGAACTCAGTAATTATCTTAATTATAATTACATTTTTTATATTTTAAATGATATTTTATTTTTTATTTGATTATGTTTATCAGCAGTTAATTACACAAATTTAAACATGAACCTTACTAAGTTGTATTTACGCATAATTTATTCATAATCTTAAATTTTAAGTAATATACATCAATAAACAATATTTTATACATAAAAAAATGATTTTTGATAGTTTTTGTCGAATGTTTTATAATATAGTATAAATAAGAGTTATTATACTTTTATAAATGGAAAAATAATAATAAAATATAAATGAAAAAGCTTGTAGTTACCGGACTTCGGACAACAATGGAGGTTTTCGCACCGTGGTTCGATAGATCAAATGCAATTTCCATGCCGGAATTCCCAGCTCCGACGACCAAAACCTTCTTATTCTCAAATCGTTCGCCGGATTTATACTCCGTCGAATGAATAACTTCACCTTTAAACTCACTCAACCCATCCACCGCCGGTATAAACACATCACTGGTTTCTCCGGTGGCCACCACCAAAAACTTCCCCTCATACCACCGAACTCCGCCCTCCTCCTCCGCACTCCGGCCACCAACTATCTCCGCCTCCACCTTCCATTTCTTTCGATCTTCATCGTACTTCGCAAACTTTACAAAGTTATGGAACATTGGATTAATCTTGAAATGAGATGCGTAATCGTCTAAGTATTTTAAGAAATCTTTTATGGGGACGTACGACGGAAAGTTCGCCGGAAAAGGCATGTGAGGAAGCTGACAGAATTGCTTGGTTAAGTGGAGGTGAAGGCGGTCGTATGATTTGTTGTTGAATATTGAAGCAATACAATCTTCTCTTTCGAGGATTACGTATGGAATTGAGAGGCGGTGGAGGGATGCGGCGGTGGAAAGGCCGGAGGGGCCGGCGCCGACGATGATAACCACCGTTTCTGTAACGCCGGTGTTCATTTTCCGGCCGGCGATGGGAGGTCAATGTTGATGTGGGATCGATGTGTAGTAGCCAAGTATATATACATGATTCACTTCATACCAACTTGTTTTCGTATGACGAGTGTAATCATATTTTTAAAGGTAAAAATTTCAAAATAAAACATTTTCAAAGTAGAAAAAAATAAAGCAAAAACACTGTAAAGATATTTTCATAGTATTTTATTGTGAAGTTTCACGTTTAAAAATGTGGTCTCACGAAATTCCAACTCTTTCTCTCTCTCTCTCCACACTCATATATAGGAGTTCATTTAAGGGATAATTTATTAGTTTGTGATAACCGTGAAATCCAATATGAAACACTCGTTTGAGATATTTAATGATATTTCTTAAATAAGTTAAAATAGTAATATAATATATATATATGAAATATTTTTATCAAGAAATAAATTAATTGAAATAATTTCATCATTTTAACAAATTTCATGAACATATTTCATTAAAATAAACAATGAAATCGACGATTTTCATGGTTTGTACAAATGGTTTGGTTGCAAAATATCCCTCCCATATATATATATAGGCTTGGTTTCTAGTGAGAATAAAGTTATGGTGAGAAATGAAAAAATAGATATCCACTCTTCAATCAATCCTAATTGAATAAGAACACCAATGAGGTACACCAACCCAATTTCATTCCATCACTCGTCACATCAACATAGTAACCGATTAATGTTTTAACCGGTTACCTGAGTACTTAAATGATCAAAACTTTACATCTTAGGTATTAAAAATGAAAGTTTTGAAAATAAATTACACAAAATAAGAATAAAATTAAAATATATTATCTTTTTATGCAATTTGCTAAGGAAACTTAATGGAAATATTTTTATAATCAAGCAATTTGATGCGTATTTTTGGTTGTTTAAATTGAGTTTTCCATTAAAACTAGAAGTCTGCAAAGTTTGACTTTTTAAACAAATTTAATAAATGCTCAAAATATTGCAAAATAACAATAAATTTTAAAAAAACAAAGAATTTCATTTAAATTAAATATCAACATATAATCAATGCATACTTTGCATTTTATAATTGAATATATTCAATGTTAATGCAAATAAACTACTCTCTTTTGGCTTTTTTATCTAACATTAATATTTAATTTGTTATACGAGCATATTAATTTCAGAGCTATTATTTGTTATGTGGGTATTTTGAAGTCACCGTATTTAAACATTTGTGGTCATAAAAGGGATTTTTATTTATTCTTGGATTCGAACCTGGGACCTCCAGACACTTTTCACCTTTGGAGCCCAAACTCAAACCAACTAGCACCATCTGTTTGGTATTTTGCGTGTACTCTTTAACATTAATTTTAAACGTTCCTTAGAAAGAGGAATTATATTCAAACGTTTTTACAAACCATTATAGTGTTGTTTTTGACAAACTATAGGGACCAGATTTGTAGTTTACTCTTGTTTTTTTTAATATAATCAAAGAGAATCTTGATTTAATGTTTTATATATATATATATATATATATATATATATATATATATATAATTTTTAAAACATCATAAAATAACAAAAAGTTTGGTAGCAAGATATTCTGAAATAGTTTTTTAATTGTTTACTGAATAATGTTATTAACTTGTCTGTTAAGTCAGAAATAGTACGTTTTTAGACAATTGAATATTATATAAAGATAGTTGATTACAGATTCCCAAGATACAGAAAAAGAACCATTACTTTTTTAACATAAAAAATACCTGGTATTTCTAGATTGTTCCTCACCCTGAATATTTCTGCCCATACCCCTTCCAAACCAACTATCCCTCCTAAAGAATGACTCGTAACCGAAGAGGACAAACAATCCGACCCCCATCATCACCTTAAACACTTTTTATCACCCAAACCCACAATTCATTGACACCAGTCTTGAAACGTCATCACCATCTCACAAGAAGAATCCAATTCATATCCCGTAAACTGTCCATCCCAATCCCCTACTGAAAATTGTTTAAGTTAATTTCCCGTTTAATCCATGCCCAAATATTTTATGTGAATCGGTCCCACCCGGAAAAATATCTTCTAACACTCGGGAATTTTGTAACTCAAATGGCGTCGAAAAAAGAGAAAAAATATAGAGCAAGGCTACTCAAGATTGATTTAGTAAGAGTTAACTGACCTACGACCAAATGACAACAAAGCCTACAACTTGGCAACCTGACTTAGAGGTTGTTTGTTTACCTCTTAATATTTTCATTAAAAGACAACATCTGAATCGTTAAGAGACGATCTTGTTTGACAAAAAAAATCTGTCTATTAATGGTTCTAAAACCTTCTGAATGATATTGTATCATGGGCCTCCCTTAACCATAGAGTTCCCTAATTTCATTGCAAACAATTACCAAACAATTATATTTCATTTTACGTTATATCATAAAAGCCTCTTAATCATTTTGTATCAAATCATCCAGCAACCACCAAACAGTGTCTTAGGTTAAACAAAATTGCGACCATTTTAACAAAGGTATAGAAAAATTCTCTCAATATTCATATATGTCGTATAATCTTGATTTAATAATGGTCACGAGGTCCACGATAACACGTAATGCATTATCATTATTTAAATAATTTTCAAAGCATGCATAAAATATTTGATATACAAATAAACATAAAAGAATTTTACTTGTAAGATAATTCATAAATTATATAATTTTTTATTTTTTAAAAAATTTCATTTAAAATACTTATCGAATACTCCATCGTCGCAAAATAAATTACACATAGTTTTTTAAATATATATATATATAAAGAACAGTTTCGTCTCACATGATCCAAGTCTCTCTCTTTCTGTCTCTCACACACACATATAAAGAGAGAGAGATATACCAACATGTTTTTGTGAGATCCGTGAGACCACCTTTTTACATTTGAAACTTCACAGCAAAACGCTGTGAAGTTGACCTACACAATGTTTTTACTCTGAAAGTTCGACTTTTTTTTTTACCTTCACAGCGTTTTGTGTGAAGTTTCAAGTGTAAATAATTTGTCTCACGGTCTCACAATAACAGGCTGGTCTCACGCGAACCCAACCCTATATATATATATATATATATAGTTGGGTTCACGTGAGACCAACGGTTTTTCGTGAGACCCGTAAGACCAATTTATGTTCATTGATCAACTTTAAGAGTTAATGATCTAATGGTCTAAATTGCACGGTGGCAATTTTGTGATTATTGAGAAGTTTCGTGGCGTTTATGAATGTTTAAATTTTCAGATTGTAGATCTAATCCAAGGGTTGAGAATTGGTCTTACGGGTCTCACGAAAAACCATTGGTCTCACACGATCCCAAGTATATATATATATATATATATATACATACATACATACATACTAGAAGAGTACTCGCACAATGCAGCGAGACACATCTTGATTTTAATGTTCTATTTTATTATTTGTCTCTTTCGATGTTAAAATACGATTTTATGTGTTTTTAAGAAAACAATAATGATTTTATTTTTGAATAAAATATAAATTTGAAAATATCATTAAAAAAATATCAATGTTAATATCAAATCAACTATTTAAAAGTTCTCATTTTTATGTAGTTTTTTTAATTTTTTTTTATAATTTAATTTAAGTTTAATAACGAAATAATTTATTTTTGGTTTAATAATAAAATATTTTGTAAAGATAATAATTAAGTATTCTGTTAGAACTCAATGATTATCATAATTATATTTTAGATTTTTTATACTTAAAATGAGATGTTTATCCTGTATTTGATTATTTTTATCTGTAGTTAGTTACACGAATTCAGATATAGAACTTTAATAAGTTGTACTTACGCACAATTTACTTGCAATCTTGAGTTTTAAGTAATATGCATTAATAAACAGTACTTTACGCATAAAAAGTTGTTTTTAATAATTTTTGTCAAATGCTTTATAATATATAGTATATATATATATATATATATATAGAGAGAGAGAGAGAGAGAGAGAGAGAGAGGATGTTTCAAATGCAACTCATCACATTTGTACAACCAATTCAACACAATAAATTGAGATGTTTATAAAAATGATGTAAGGTCATTTATTATGATTTGAATATTTTATAGAATATGACTATAGTTCATCAATTATGATCAATACTTTATATTAAGAAACAATCTAAACTTTTATGAAATCACATATTCATCAAATTAAATGGACGGTTGAGATTGAGTTGTATTGGTTGTACAAATGTAAATGGTTGTATAATAACTCATCTCTCTCTCTCTCTCTCTCTCTCCCTCTCTCTCTCTCTCTCTCTCTCTATATATATATATATATAGGGGTGGGTTCAAATAAAAACCACTCAATTTGTAAAAACCGTGAAAACCTCATTCAACAAATCATAATTTTTCATTTTGTTCATTTTTTTGTAATTATGAGAGGTTGATTAACCATTTTTATTGTGGAGGGTGTTAATCATGGATATTATCATCTTCATTATTTTAATTTTAGAGAAATAAATGAAACAGTTCCATTAAAATTTCATTAAGTAATATATGAAACAATTTCATAACCATATATGAAAGAACTTCATCAAAAAAAGTATTATATGAAACAATTTCACAAGATTAACAATTTCATGAAAAAATTCATAAGATTAACGATGGATGAGAGTAGTTTTTACGGTTTTTACAAATTGTAGTGGTTTTCATTTGATCGCTCCTCTATATATATATAATCGTTCTATATTTATACCATAAGACAATATTTCTTGTTGTATTCCGAAGGTCTTTTTAAGTGGTTATTTATTATTTATAAACCTATAAAAAAAATTCGAGTCTATTTTTTTAAATATATAATATTTATATACAACAAATGCAACAAATAAATTTACACATTTTTCTTACATTTAATGAAGTTTGAACCATTGATCTTTTAAGAGAACAAGGACTACGATTCGTTAGACCAAAGACCCTTTGATGTGTCTATTTTTTTTATTAATAAAAATTGATTATT